AGGTGACAAGGTGCTCCGTCCGTCCGTATAGTACAGCAACAGACAGCCGACATGACCTGTCCATTACCGCCCGTCTCCCTCGAAGCAGTTCTACATACGTACAGGTACACTCACTCTAATACAAAATGGAGCACTGCAGCGGAACAAGAAACCTGACATAAAGCATGTGAGAATTTACACTTCGAGAGAGTCTGACGCTCTGGGATATAACATTATGTTCTCCTTTGAAAGTTAATTGATGTTTCGGACGCACTCGTCGCAACAGAACGGCAAGTCGTTGGTTTCTGCCTGCTTTATGCTGGTTTCTTGCTTGGCGTACTGTTTAAAGCTGAAGAGGGAGCCGGCATGTTGCTCCGAAAGACAGTTGACTTCTAAATGATTACACCGCGTTATAAGCCCCCTCCAAAAAAGAACTCATTTTCACCGCTTTGAGAATATCAAATCCTCCAATCTATATTTCATTTCTGCATCATAGGCTGTATGCATCCGTAACATAACACAGCACGCATGACCGCGCGTGCGAGGCTAGCTACTCCATCTGGTGAATGCTGAGAGAACCCGGACTTCACCAAGAATATCCCGTATCGATTCAGGTCGCTTGAGAACTGCCTTACTTAAACAACTTCATCAAATTGTATATAAAGAATCCTGTGGTTCTTGATCGAGATTTAAGGTTAAATAATATCTAAAAGCAGAGTACGTCCATCTTATAGTATGTAAATCGGCCATGGCTTGCATCCGACTAAATCGGCAATTTTGTCACAAATTATAGGGATGCATCCGTGCAAATTTCTGGCCACTAAGCAACACACTCTCCTCCTCATGATCAGTCTTCAAAGCAATCCATTTTGTGAAATATATATATATATATATATATATATATATATAAGCCGGAATAGCGCAGTCAGTATAGCGACAAGCTGCGGGATGGACGACAGAGGGGTCGGAGTTCAAGTCCCGGTAGGTTCAAAATTTTTCTCTTCTCTACGTCGTCCAGACCGACTCTGGGATCCACCCAGCCTCCTATCCCATGGGTGCAGGGTGACATTTCCCCCGGGGTAAATCGGCCTGAGCGTGAAGCTGACCATCCATCTCCAGCTAGTTCCGACGTCAAGAAATGTGGATATACATCCACTCTACTATGGCGTAGTGCTTAATTGGTTAAACACGGGGACAATTTTATATATTGCCTATAGAAATATTTGAAAATTTCGACACCTTAAAATATAAATTTTCTAATCTATTTTTGAGTGAATTGTTATTGTGTTTAATTTAATATTGTTGCAGTGACAGGAGGCTGAAAGTTATTTTGCATCTTGATTAATGGGGTAGTCGATCACTGGGCTCGTAGTTTTTTAGTCCCGCTCAAGGTATGCATTTATGTTGCCCTGTGTAGGTAGCGATCTTAAAGCGCAAGAAACATCCCCCCCCCCCATCCAAGAAGTAGTGCTATCAACTCTTTGTAAAGCTTCATAGTTTCCAGGAAAATTTTGAACTGGGCCCGAGGGCCTAAACCATCGAAGGAAGAAGAAGAAGAAGATTTATGGATTGTAGAAAAATAAAGTGACACTTCATTAAAGTCTTAACCATGGTTACTTCAGAATCAGGAAGGATCCAAGTTAGAACTACATCAAAATTTGACAACATGACTCATCTTATCCGAATGCTGAAATAATAATTTACACTAGGTTCACAATAACACACACTTAGTGCTATTTTTTTTATCAAATCTCAAAATGACTATCATGATATTTTCTCAAGAATGTACCCTATTTTTTATTGTTAACACAAACATCACGTGTAACACATCCAATATTAAAGAAAACTACATCAATTTTGGAAATTTAATAAAGAAAAATAAAAATTACCTAAATACTTCTTCCTGCCATCTACAAACATGTACAATATTTAATACTTATCTTCCAGTTAGCTGGAGATTTGAGTCGAAAATAATTAACATTGCTGAATTTTTAAATTAAAATTTTTAATTTTATACCAAAACAAGGTCGTTTTAAGGCTAACAGATGATTTTATAAATTAGTTTATAATTATATATTCGTCGATGCTTAATCCAGACACAAGTCATCCCACAGAATTTCAGAAAGAAGCTTTTCATCACTGATACAAGATGTTGAAATTCCGTGTACTCGTAACTATGTCACCTTCACTTCAGTGATTGTCCCATTTTATTACACAGATGACTATATACATCCATCTACATCCTATGCTCGTATACTTTATTTTGATCAAACATTTTCTTTCTTCTTTCACTTAGCTTGAAAGCTTTTTGTTCGGTATCTTCACCTTTCCCGTCTTCCTAATATTATGAGCCTATTACTTTGGATGTCTTCGTATGTGAGTGAGTTTAAAAGCTGAGCCTGCAATCGGGCAGGTTGGAAATATGATTGAGTAATGATATAAAAAGCAGCATCTTACGGCTTTATAGCCTTGTTAAAATCAAGTAGCCTTTTTTAAAACTAGTTCAGATATTAAAAAAGAAATAAAACATTTCCCTACAATAATTGTGTTACCAATTGTTATAAAACAGTGTTACTAATGGCATATATAATTATGATAATGGCCATGATAAAGAATGTAGATCTAATAGAAAATTGAAGTAATTAATATTGATAATTAAATAGCACATGTTGTTCATTGTGCATAATTATGTTTTATTACGCATCTATATTCCCAAAATCATCTAGAATATTTTTATATCATATTGGGGATATCAGTTAACCTAAATAATTGTGATGTCTTATTTTATTTTGAAATAACACAAATTTCCTCGGTGTCTATAATAATTTTGGTCCGTACAATATATGTTTCTGAGTGATAGCCTCTACTCTTCAGATACAAAGGACGTATTAGTTATTATGAACTGGTTTCATAATAAAATCAACATATATTATGAGGAACAAGAAGTTCTGCGAAGAACTAATGGCTAACTTTCTTTGATACGAGACGGACGGCATAGAAAAAGATGCGTCCATCGATTCTTCTATTGTTGCTTGTATATTCGTTGCCGCTGTAAAGTTTTTACCTAACCGTTGCCTAGTAAATATAGGGGATACACACATACACAAACATTAATGGGAGATGTTTATGAATTACGCCGTTAAGATGGGCTCAGGTGCCATGACACACCTATCAAGTTTCATAAAGATTAGTTCAGGTATTGAAAAATTAACATGAGTGGATTCACAGACAACCAGCATTATGATGTCAAAAGCCTACTTTAATTCTTTGTCAGAATAAGAAAAGTAGGCTAGAAACTTATAACCTTGTATAGTCCAGGAAGTCAAGACCAAGTCATCAAATTCCAATATGACTGCCGCAGTGGACTGTATTACGAAAATATATTTTGCCTAATTGTCAACTCTGTTGGTAGCATTCCCATGTTGCAAGCGAATACTCCAAACGAAGGCGTCAGATGCAAGATGTCTCTAGGGACAATGCACTGCTTGGAGGAGTTGACGGGACATGTTGCCTCTCGTCATATTATGCCAGCCATCTAAGCCGGACACCAAGAAATGTAAGCATGGCCAGTAATTTGTCAATAGAAGTTCCTGCACATTCACGCCGAACACTAACTATATGAGACAACTTTATACCTCGCGTTTCCTGCACTAGATACACGTAATACTAACTGCCCACGACTGAGGTTAGAGTGGCCGGAAGATGGAAGAAACGTTGAAGGTGCAGAAAACGCTGTCGATTTCAAAGTTGTGTGTCATTGTAAAGCGTGAAATTAAAGTCACTCATTGAGGTATAAGGCTTTGTGGCTTCAGAGCCTGTGTGATTGTGAGGCATGAAATTGAACGTACATCACCGGAGTACAGGCATATGTGGACATAAGAGGAATGCTCCTACCTCCGTGTATGTTTGGAACCAAACTTATTTAGTCCGTAGTCACCTATTAATGTTGTGCAGCATTCAGTATTTTGTGTTGGCAAATTTGTCCGTACTTAACTAAATAATACGCCATGAATATGTATAGGGGAATGGATGTATGGATCCACGTATTCTTGACCTCGGCACTAGTCGCAGGTGAGTGGTCAGATTCACGCCCCGGCCGCTAACCGGTCTAGACGACGTGGAGACGTGGAACATCTCTACCCGCCGTGACTTAAACTGCAAGCTCTCGACAGTCCAATCCCTAGCGAATTACTATACCGACTGCACTATCCCAGTCACAGTATTTCGTATTGGATCTAGTGGTCAGAGATCCTGGTTACAGATCCAGAGGTCCCGGGTTCGATTCCCGGCTCTACCAGATTTTGTGACAAGTAGTGGGTCTGGAACGGGGTACACTCAACCTCGTGAAGATAATTGAGGAACTACTTCAAGGAAATAATGACTCCGGCCTAGAAAACCGAAATTAACGGCCGTGGGGATCCGTTGTGCCGACCACGCGACACCCTCTACCCGCTAAAGTTGGCGCTAAATTCACCGACAAGCGGCGGTTGCTCGGTCGGTATAGTTCGCTTGTGGACTCAAGCCACGGAGTTTGTTTTAATAATTTATCAAATATTGTGCAATCATAACTCGAAACAATACATTCTGAAAACGTCTTTCAATGGCATTTACCCTCATAAACTAAGTTTTGTAAATTTTAGAATAATTTTGGTTTGTCGTAATCTAGAAAGCGAAATAATATATTCAACTACAAAATATGTTAATGGTTAGTACTATAATCGCTCATGTTTCGTATTTCCCGTTTCGGAGCACAGAGTTCTCTACTAGTTCAAAATCAAAGAGCAGCATGACATCATAAAGTGGTAACATACTTACTTCCCAACGGAGAGATTTACACTATACCAGAGTAGAATATCTTGATAGATTAGAACGCAACATTAATATCCTTAAATATTAACCTCTTTAATTCTATAATTTAACGCTGTAAAATATAAAACAATTAAATGAATTCAGCTATTGCATTGTTCAAATTTAAAGCACCCCTTCCTTTTTTAAAGCAGTAAAATTATAATTCTTCTTACCTTGTCGCAGAACACTTTGATCTGGCAGTATCCTCTGTGAAAGATGGCACTATCTCTCGGGTCCTCGTACGTGTCTATCTGAAGGTGAAGGGGCAAACCCTGGGGACAAAGAAAATGACAAAAATTCAGCTATACGAAGTCTATGTAGCTGTGAGAGAACATAATTCGGTTCCATTAGAGCGGAAGATACATTAACTTAACAGGCTACGCTAAGACTTCTTCTTCCTAATGTCCCTCAACTCCTTTCTTTATAATCCAGTCGGTAACAAAGATAGAAGCGAAGGTAGTTTGCTTTAATTAGTACTGAAAATTATAAATAAAATGACTCCAATTAGTGAATGCCACACATGCCCTGAATAAGAATATTTGTATGATAACGAAAATATGTAATAAAACTTTTAAAACAATTTCTAGTTCTTTCTGTGAACTAATTAAAAATAGATATTTAAATGTTCTGCTGTAATATACGTGGTGGTATCAAAAAGTTCCCGAAATTTGAATTTTGCGTGCGAATGGTTATGAGTACATCGAAACGCCGCTAGATATCTCCCACACACCCTTCTTGAATCAACGTGGCAAGGGGCGTCGAGTTGAGTGATTGGGTTTATTGTTGGTGAACGTATATCCATTATCGTGTTTCCGTGAGTTAGCGGTTTTGCGATGCCTGACCTGAGAGAGCAGCGTGTCTGTATTAAGTTTTTCTTTAAACTTGGGAAAACCGCTGCATAAACGCACCAAATGTTGAAGCAAGTTTTGGTGACAACAGTTTAGGCCAGACACAAAATTACAACAGGTATATACGTTTCAAAAATAGCCGAACATCGACTGACGTATAAGCCCATCACACTAGCCGCGTGGTCTAAGACATGAACTACATTCGCTCCCTCGGGCGCTGGGGTCGTGGGTTTGAATCCCACTTAAGGCTTGGAGGTTTTGTGTAAGTATGCGTTTATTCTCTTTTGTTGTCTTGTGTTTAGGTAGAGGCCTTGCGACGAGCTGATCACCCGTCCAAGGAGTCCTACCGTCTGTGAAAAATGATTACGGAACTGAATAAGAGGACAGGGCCCTGAATGGGCTGGAAGAGCCATTGAAAAAAGAAACATAATTATAATTCCTTGTAAGGTGTAGTAAAAGACGTGATATTTTCACGGCGATTATTATGAATATTGTGTGATCCTGTAGTTGTGAGGAAAATCTGAACTGTTAACAGATATGATTGTATTCTCTGAAAAAAAAAAATGCTGTAAATTTAAGCAACCGAGGGATTTAAGAAGCCCACATGGAACAGATTTCGAACATGTGAAGGAAATGTTTTTTCCCCTTTTTATTGATTGAAATAACTTACACTTTGCTGAGTAACAGCTGAAGAGCACATATTTTAAATTATGTCTATACAAAGAATTAGAGAAGCCGGGATAAGGTAGTTGATATAGCAACTGGCTACAGGCTGGACGACTGAGTCGGACTTCGAGTTCCTGTAAGGTCAAGAATTCTATCTTCTCCATATCGTCCAGATCCGCTCTGGGGTCCACCCAACCTCCTATCCAATGGGCACCGGGGGCTCTTTCCTCGGGGGTAAATCGGGAGTAAAACTCACCTCCAGCTAGTGCCGAGGTCATGAAAATATGGATCTGTACATCCACTCCCCCATAAGCCTTCATGGCGTAGTGTTTAATTAGTTAAGCATAGGGGCAACTTTACATTTACAAAGTATTATTATTATTATCAATGGTAAAATAAGAGTAGTTATGAATGTGGGGTATCCAAGACAAATAAGCTAACGACGTATAAGTGAGTATTTAACTTGATACGTATTTCCACAATTATATAAAAATAAATACTGAAATTCGTGAGAGCCATAAGAATCTGGGTGCAGAGATTATCGCGGATAGAAAAGGCTGTCGGTTGAAGAGAGAGAGCTGAAGGTACCGTAGAACTAGAACAAGAATGGCAAGGCGAGACTGCAAGGGATGTTTTGAGGCCAGTACAGGCAACAAGTTGCCTAATCCCTGAAGCTAAGATGATGATTCAAAAGCAAATGCAATATGAGACACAGACTATTCTTCTGTGCTTTCTATTCACAATAATTTAAAAATTCCCTTTCCAATTATTACGTTAGGAGATATCGTTTTCTCTTGAAATCAATAGCTACATAACTATGTTACTGCTGGACATTTCCATGGAATGAAAGGCTCTGAGTTCTGCTTTAAGATCCGTATTAGTACTAATGTCTACAGTTCTAGGCTCTCAAGCGAGATAGCTAATTTACACCGTGAAATTTATGCCCCCCTTTCAAAAAGTAAATACTACGTGGGGGAAGAAATAACATATATCAGTTCTCAGTCAGCAGTTAAGAAGGTTTTTAAAAAGATGAAATAAAAAGTTGGATGAGAGAATAAACAAATCGAATATATCTGCTACCAAGAGATTAACATAGGGAAGAATTTTAATGTTACGACATATTAATAAGTTAAATCATTTCCTTTTCTCTTCACTTACGTAGCTTAGTAAAAGTGTGAGAAATACATGACGTCATTACATATGAGCAGTGAGAAAATCTATTTAAGCAGGTTTACCGCACAGCCCACGTTTCTTTGTCTCGAAGTTTTTCCTTTTGTCTGCATACTGTAGACATATACGCGTTATACCAACTCTAAGGCCGCGCCATAGCTCAAGCGGTTAGTCGCTGGCTTTCCACCGCGTTGGCCCGATCCCGGGTCTGGTCAAGTGGGATTTGTGGTTGACAAAGTAGCGCTGGGGCAGGTTTCCTCCGAGTACTTCGGTTTCCCCTGCCAATCTTCATTCCACCAAATTCTCCATCATCATCACCTGGGGCACGCACAATAGGCCAATCAGTGGGCGCCGTGCCGCGTAGACCCAGTTGGACTACACCCCCCACTAAGCGAAAAAATATACCAACTTTAATTGTACGGAAATGCGTGATTTGAAACAACTACGCAGGTGTATGTCCATGTTCTTGTGCCGACTGACGACGCATGGCTCCTAGAATGCAAAATGTAACCGGGGACGAGAAGGAAAATGTCCGATAAGGATATGAGTGTTGTTTGGTGGAACTGAAAATATAAGCTTGACTGACATGTCAGGCATACTTTTCCTGAACATAAATTCCGCAGAGAGTAACACTCAATTAAATGTAATTATATATTACCTTTTATTAAAAATATTGTGCAGTAAGGAATTACTTTAAAATCAGTATAATTATAAAACAAGAATTTATGGGACGAACTGGTCGCCATTTTTCTTTGATATGACATGGACCGCATAAAAAACGACGGCTTCATCAATTCTTCTTTGCCGCAGGAATTTCTTTGGGGAGTTGTTACCTAGCAACCATAGGGGGTACACAGACCCGCATGTCCAACAATTCTTCTATTGTTGAATGTATTCGTTGACGCGGGAACATGTTTAACTAGCCGTTGCCTAGCATCGATTGGAAGGATACACACACAGACACAGTCTGAAGGAATGGATTTATGAAGTACACCGTTGAGATGGGTACAGATGCCATGATATACATAATAAGTTTCATAAAGATTGGTTCAGCCATTCAAAAGTTAACGAGAGTGGGAGATTCACAGACACACACACACAGCATGGAGATCGCATCGCCTACTTATATTTTTATCAAACTAAAGAAAGTAGGCTAAAAATAAGACCCATTTTGTCGCATTTTAATCCGAAAGGTAATCTAAAAAAGAAAAATATACCGAAGAAGATCAGATCCAAATTCAGAACAAGACTGGGGTCATCACTAAAATATATAGTATAGCTTAAACATCTGCCACGGTAATTTTTAAAAGTATAAACCTTAAGAAAATAACATTTACTTTCAAATTTCGCATACAGAGTTCAACTGTTGAAGTTGCCTAAAAACATTCTGAACTAAATCCTCAATAAGATAGATCATGTGACAGATTTTTAAACTATTTTTATGTATATTGCCTTGAATATATACCGGCGTGTATAGCATAAATATATAAGACTAACAATAGATACCACAGCAGCTGCCCTTGTATGACGTGTATCTTAAAGAAGATGGAAAAATAGAATCTTATGGAAAGGAGTGATTTAAACCGTTTTACAGAATCACGTGACAGGACGGAGTTATGATGTATGGAATCTTGAAGAATAGAACAATAGTATTTTTTCTTCCTCCCTATGGCTGTGACGTGGCGACCTTTTCCGTGTAACGTAATAAGAATAGGGACAAAATTTCAAAGCAGCCCACAAGCAGAGGTGAAATTTTCTTGGAAACATAAAACTGTCATCTGATTTGTTCAGGTCTCCGGACTTTAGCACTTGCTGTTATATCAAATTATTTCCATAACGCTTTCAACATTATTAAATTCTTTATTATTTTTGAAAATATATCAGCTGTTAGTTCTTTCAGTCCAATGTTGGTATGAGATTTATCACTGTCAGCAATAATGCAAATAACAAAGACAGATATGTTATATTCGTATACAAATGTCAAAAGATATACGGCCTTTTACAAAGAAAGGATTGTTAAATAATACAAGACTGGGCAAATAAGTTGTTTTAGCGGCATGAAAGCAAGTGACACGTCTATTTCTGGGAAAACGTTTATTATAATTCAGGCATGTACCAGGGATTGTCTTCACACTTTGGCTACTTTTCTTATTATCGTCTGTGTGTACATTCGGAGAAGAGTTGTAAAAGAACAGTTTTAAACGTACGATGTACTCCAACAGAATACAGCTAGTGAGCCAATAGTTTTATGGCAAAAAACTGAATTGATCAATACGCAGGTATTATTCTTACCCAAATTTAATGGATAAATAATTGTATATGCCCGAATTATCTCATTTTTCATGAAGGGGAAAACATATTACGTTGTTCGTACTGATAAAAACACTACATGAAAAGATTTTGTACACTTTACATTCTCCTTAACGCAGTTTCTTACTGAACAGAAGCATCACACGGAGAAACTGAACTATTGTATCATAACTGCGATTCAAGGATAAACAGAAATGTTTTTTCGTCTCTTATCACTCTACATATTTTCACGTTATTATGCAGAAAGAGTCCTTACCATGTAAGAAACACGTTAGATTTTTCTCGATTTTTCGCTGAGGATCCATAAAATGTGGAAACTCAGCGTGTAAAGAACACTTATCCACATCAAACCGCCCGCTTGTTCAACATTAGTATGAGATTAGAACCGAACAGCAACGAAAATATATTCATAAACCTGCAATAGACATACAACTGCCAGTTGAAATCCATCCGCATGCGGTAAAAAGTGAACAATGTTGATATAATACAAATTAGTTAAAGCAAACTATGAGTTTGCTTGCCGGTCACGGTAGCCAAGCGGTCTAAGGCATGCACTGTCTTCGCTCGCTCGGAAGCCGGGATCGTGTGTTCGAATCCCACTCAGGGCATGGATGTTTGTGTGCGTTTTTCTGTGTTTGTCTACAGGTAGAGGCCTTGCGACGAGCTGATCACTCGCCCAAGGTGTCCTACCGTATGTGCAAGATCTAGAAAAACCGAAGTGAACGGAGAAGTTCATGGAGGTAGGCCTAGGCCCACTGGGGCTGTAGTGCCAAGGAAAAAAAAATGAGTTTGCTTAAACAAAAGAACTGAATTTTAACTAGGTTCCAGAAATGAAAACTCTTTAATATCATATATATGTTATACTTCCTGATCGTTTTAATCTATTCCTTTATATCTACCCCTCTATGGCTTTTTCATTACTTATTTTATACTCTTTATTAAAATTCCTTCCTTGAATATTCACCGTCTTTGTCTGGGCAGTAAGTGCAAAAGAGTTTTCCTGTCCTCCATAAAAGCTTACCCTACCTTACTTTATTCCTCTAATAAAAAGTTAAAAAGTCTGTAGAGGAGTGAGCAGGTGCCAGCTCTGTTCCAGCTTCTGCGATGCTGGTAAGAAAAGGATTCTCAATAAGTTTCAAATATTCGTCGTTAACCATGCACCCAGATTCTGTAACAGAACAAGACGAAGACAAACTGTCGGCTCGTATGCCCTCTGTTAGACATTCAGATTCAAATACGTACAATAGAGGTGCGATTTTTGTATTCTTATGTAGCTCCAGCTAATCAACTTTCATTGTATAATAAACACAAGCATGGTTAAACTACACTACATATCATATCAACTTCACAATGGACACGTAAGCTGTGCATTGTGAATATTCGGCATGGCTGCTACCATATTTTTACAAGTAAGTTATTGAGTATCCGCCATTGTTGCGATGGACACTCCTCCATTCAGTTGTGCAAGTGAATTACGACCAAGAATGAATTGAAATAGATGCCTTTCTTCTTTGAATCATAAGAAGACTCATATTTACTTTACTATACCGGCTGCATGTTAGGAGACAGGAACAAACGGAAGTCTCAGATAAAGAATGTAAATGAATTACAAGATGAATCGTCAAATAGACACAGTCGCGCACGCGCATACGCTCCCAAATACTAGCACTTCACACATATAGTTTTGAGAGGCAAGCTACAAGCCCATCTCCAAATACTTCGTTAGGATGATCACAATATCATCAGAGGAGCTGGTGCTTATGTTACAAAGGGCTGAATTCATTTTCAGCATATATTGTAACATGCTATTAACATTTAAGACACATTTTCTATACTATAATAAACATCGTTTTCCATTAAACTTCCACTGTCTTTCAAAATTATCACGTGGCAGGAGTCTATATACTTTGTGTGTGTACAGGTATATGTTGGGTTTATATTTTCCTAACAGATGTTTCGGTGTGAAATATTTGTTAAGTAATGGCATAGACATAATTATGAAAATGTCAAGACTAAAACTCATACAAAAAATACAGGAAGATAGAGAGTAAGTCAGAAAGAAAGGATAAGAAAGAAAGAAAGAAAGTAAGTAAGAAAGAAAGTTGTACGATTCCCATAAGAAATTTTCATCCCATTAATTTTGGGTTTTACTTTCAATTATTCTCAAAAATAATTATGTCAAGTATCTGCATATTCCAGATGAACGACACCGTCGTAATACTAAATGAAATGCTATACTGAAGGTTGTGAATTGAATTTAAAAAAGTGGAAGCTTCATATTCACTTTTAAAACCTTAATTTACAAACACAGTTGATTTTTAGAAATTATGCAATCATCAAACACATTCTACTGAATATGTCATTACTTCGTAATACAATATATATTTTACATCTCAACCCGAATACATTACCTTGTTTGGGCAGTGTAGGCTGCTGTACCACTACCAATAAAAATACGCAATTCCTGAAGCAGGTCATTAAATGAGGCCACTTAGCAGAAAATCGTTTGGGTTGAGAAAATAAGAACAAGAACAAAGACTGAGATCTGTACATTATGTACGTAATAAAAAAACACATAGTAAAATATATGTATGTGGTCATATCGTGGCAAATGACATTCAAACCTCGTCTTATGCTGAAGGAAAAGAAAAACTTTCCTTTCGGGTTAAAGAGTTTCACTTCTTACGAGCGATCGAATTTAATTAGGTGGCATGTTGCTTGCATGATTGCAGGTAACAGATGCGGCGAAGATAAGAAAGTGGAAACTGTGTGGTGAACATTGGGGTGACAGGACAAGCCTTGTGAAATTGGGGGGGGTGGGGGAGCGTTTGTTCCAAACATGGACCATACAAATTATTTTCTAGCAACACACGTAAAAATATGAGTTTCGACAAAGTCCCGCGGTAGATATACGTCACACTTCCGGCAATGTCTTTTCTTGTGCAAAATGTATGCACTGGTAACACAGTTGAGAATTATTGAACCTAATCGCATAGGGAGCCGATCATAATGGCCGTGAGATCTAAGGCACAAACTGTCTTTGCCTGCTCCAAACCTGGGGTCGTTGGTTCAAATCCCACTCAACGAATGGATGTTTGTTTCTGTTTATTCTGTGTTGTGTACGTAGCGGCCTTGCTACGGACTGACCCCCCCCCCCCCAATCAAAAAGTTCTACCGGCTGTCTAAAGATTAAGAAACTGGAGTGAAACGAAGCGTTTCACGGATGTCCTATGCTCCAGGTGGGAGCAACAGGAATGGGAATGAATGAATTGCACAGAGAAAGTTTTCATTGCACTCAACGCCCTTCCAGTTTTTGACCAGTTAGCCGAAGAAACAGTAGTCGCTAAGGTAAATACTCTCATGAAACCGTATGGATTAAATGTCCCACGAAGCTCCATTTCCTTTTAAGATATCCGCAATCCATTAACTAAAATCCTACCTGTTAAATTTAGTAAGATAGTACCTGGAACCTGACACCACATTCGTCTCAATGAACAAGTTCGGCAACGAGCAGCTGCCATTTGATCTTTCATTGGTTTAGTTTCCGTTTTTTTCTGACCTTATCAGGCCTGCAATACCTTCTCCATGACAGTAAATTTAATTTGAATGACACTGAAGACAAAAGGAACTGCCACTGTTATAAAAGTACAAAATCATGTACAATTAGCACAGGACCCTTACAGATTTCATGTGCAACACTACCTCATAAAGCAAGCAAAAAAATTAAACTTAAAGCCAACGTGTTTCTCTTGCGACACTTAAAAACGGAAATTCAAAATATACCTAGTTGGAGAATTGTAGCCCTAACGGTATTTAATGACTTCAATTGCTTTAATTAATAACATATAATTTGAATATGGGGACATGCGGTAGCGTAGTTGGTTGAGGCACTATGCTACAAGCCGAAAAGACGAGGGTTCGATTCCTGATGAGGTCATTGGATTTTTCAATTCACCTAATCCTTCCAGCCGCACTATGGTTCTGGATTCAACCCAGCCTCTAACAGAAATGAGTACCAGGAATCTTCCTGGGAGTAGAGGGAGGCCGGCTCGTAAGCCTGACAACCTTATCGCTACCTGCGAGTCGATTGTCTAGAAATGTGGGAGCCTCAACATCTCGTAGCCCTATGAGCCTCCATGGCATGTTACAGGGATAGTTTTACCTTTTTATTTTCACATAATTTTTATAAACTTTGTAAAAAGGTAAGGTAAAACGTAGAGCTATTTTCTGGCATAAGCTCTTGGGAAGTTCTGAAACCTTCATGCTTCTTTGTTCAAGTGCATGAGATTCGTGGTTTGATACCATAAACAGTAGCGGAAAAGTCTGCGTCAACAATAATGAGTGTTGTTAATTAGGACATCCTCATATAATTATCAAATTAAAAATGTTATAATTATTTTCGTTCCGTGACTTTAGTAGATGCATCTCTTATACTCACTTTGACGCCCTTCTGACTGCTGAAGTCGGTACTGAGGCACTGGACAGCCACATTGATCTGCGAATTGAAAAAGAAATCACATGTTATAACGTCACAGTTGCAACATTATAAACCTGATTAATATCTTGTACGAATACTCAGGTTTGTCTGCATGCTTATTGAAAAGTATATACTGACGCGGCAGCGTAGTTGGTTGAGGGGCTATGCTACAAGCCGGAACGTCGCGGGTTCAAGTCCCGATGAGGTCATTGGATTTTTTTCAGTTGACCTAATCCTTCCAGCCGCACTAGGCCCTGAGGTTTAAGGTTAGGCCACACAGAGCGCTACGTACGCGACGCACGCTACGTACGCTATGTTCGCTATACGAACAGAAAAATATCTCCCTTTATTGCCAATGTTACTGGCCACACAGACTTCCGTACGCTACGTACGCTATGTTCCCTATGTTAGCTGCGTGGCAGAGTGTACACAGCGTACGTAGCGAACATAGCGTAGCGCTCTGTGTGGCCGAACCTTTACTCAGCCTTTAACAGAAACGAGTACCGTTGCCAAGATACGACTAGTGAAGACTGAGAACCCTAGTGCGTGTGTAACGGTGAACTGTGAAGTGTGTAGATCAGCGATAGCGCTGTATTGCCTGTAGTCCCGAGTTGTGTGGATGTACGTGTATAAGGTGCAATAAATCCAATCATCCAAACCAAACCCCGTTTTTAAAGTCACGCTCACCCTCCTATAATGTGACAATACGAAACTTTTTCGTCAATGTTGTTTGTTAAAACATTAGGTTTGTGCTGTCAATTGTTCAAATAACGTGCTTGTGACACTATAATCCTGCAGCATCCTGTTGCACTGTGTAATCTAACTTCGTGTTCCCACCCCGCGCCGGCTCTGCGCAACTTCACACGTCTTCGTCCCTTTATTACATGTTTCGGCTTGACTGGTCATCATCAGGCGTGCAAAATGTCGGTCGGATTGAAGGAACTGCTGCTCTGTTGTCACGTTGTTCTGCTTTACATTTTGATGTGAAATGCTTCTAAAATATTATAAGTTATATAAGACTACCATGTTGTAGTTACGCACGTATCTAGTGTATATCTTTGTTGATGTGTTGGTTTACCTTTTGTGTTATGTGTGGCTATTCTGGGTGTTTCTCTGGAAGCCCACAGACTTAGTTGCCGTAGAAGCCCTTCTATATATATATATATACACACACACACACACACACACGTGAGATTTGTTTCTCTTTTCGCAGCCGTTTTGGATGAACGTGTGCTGGCAAAGTGAATTACATGTTACTGGAGTTAAAGAACTATGCTACCATTATTTTGATATATTCATGGGTGAGAGCGGAATGAACAATATCCTGTAGTACCATTTTTTATTATTTACTGCATCTATTGTATTTCATTTTTGCCACATAAGCCTGTAGACATACTCTGTGACGATAATAATAACCCTAAAATACATCAGAAGTATTTTATACTATGTTCCTCTCTTTGTATATGCAAGATTTGATACTTTTATGTGATTGTTCACGTTTGGTACAGGCGCGGAAGGTAATCACACAATATCCATCATAGATATAGGATATTTTTCGAAAAAAGTCTATAAAGTTGTAACGATTTGAATTGCGCCCATATTTGAAGAGTTCAAGAAGTCAGCAAAACTTATTTATTTTTTAAGTCGTATTCATCCCACTAACAAAATAAAGGCAGGCAAAGTTAGGAATAAATATGGGTTTATATTGTCAAAATCTTTTACGACTTTATGTCCTTTGTTATATATGTATACCTTCTCTATGCACGGCCACCATTGATTCTATAAAAGAGGTATGATATAAGGTCTTGGGCAACTCTATTCTACATTTCGAGTGGGCGAGTACAACCTCCCGTGACAAAAAGCAAATGGAAAAAATCTTATTATGCGTCCATCTCATTTTATTGAAGTTTTCAGCTGTTTCTTTTTGGGGTCATCATATAGCATAACTGCTATAATAGGAAATTTCGACATTTTGACATCCATTTCGAATGCTGCTAAGAACTGAAAGCTTCCTTTTACTTTTATTGTTCAAGTCTGTAAGGAGATGGGGACTTTGCGAGGAAAAATACAGTTGCTGAAAGAGTATGTCCACAAATTCAGATCATATTAGACATGTCAAGCACCCATATTCTTAATATAGCTGAAGCAAAATTTGAATAAAATCAAAATACTGAACTAAGACAAATACTTTAATTAATAAATTTTATAATTTTGCCTGTTGTTCTGTATGGGTGTGAAACTTGGTCTCTGGAATTAAGGGAGGAACATAGACTAAGGGAGTCTGAGAGTAGGGTGTTGAATATTTGGATCGAAGAGAGATGAAGTGACTGGAGGTTGAAGAAAACTACATAATGAGGAGCTTCATAATTTGTATTCTTTTTCAAGTATAATTAGAATGATCAAGTAAAGGAGGATGAGATGGGCAGGGGATATAGCACAAATGGAGGAGAAGAGGAATTTATATAGAATATTTGTGGGAAAGCCAGAAGGAGAGAGACCACTGAGAATACCAAGGCGTAAGTGTGTGGACAATATTAAAATAAATCTTATAGAGATAGGATGGGATGGTATGGATTGGATTGATCTGGCTCAGGATAGGGACCAGTAGAGGGCTCTTGTGAACATGGTAATGAACCTTCGGGTTCCATAAAATGCTGGGAAGTTCTTGAGTGGCTGCACAATTGGCGGCTTCTCAAGAAGGGCTCAGTTCCTTGAGTGAGTTTATCTCTTATAACAAATTATAATTTGTTATGCACGTACGAGATACATTTTTTGGTCCATCTGAAAACCACTTTGGCTTAACAAGTTAAAGACTGAATTTCTTCTCAATACTATATACAAATTCAATTCGTACCTCTCAGGAAACACATTATGCCTCCGCTGCAAAGCCCAACCGGTTATTGTTATTTGGGCAAAGAGTCGCTGTTCGTTGTGAGAAAATACGAAATAAAAACTGTGGGCAGAATGCAGAGTATTAGTTTGTTAAAGCAGACAGTATATACGAGTATAGTAAGCACTGGGATTTGAAGGATTAGATACAAAACCTTAGCGGCGACATATTATCTGGAAAACACTCCCTGTCCTCATTCTCTCTTAACCTCAACTCTTATCTTCATAATTTGTTGGGCTCTCGACTAATTTCTGGCTCAAAAATCGTGACCATATATATTCGGCACTGAATTAACGCAGAGCGAACCATTTGTATCATGAAGATATATCCACTAAAATCAGAAACTACAATTTTTATATGAAGAAAATTCATCCAACTTACATTACAATTTTATGCCATTTCGTATATGAGAAAAGTTGAAGCATTTCAAGTTAATGTCGTTTAATAGAAGGAATTATTGCGATTACGAAGAACCTAGGTTATTATAGTAAAGGGACTCATAATAAAAGGCCTTGTGACGTATAACCCACAAGGGAAATTTATAATAGATACTTGGCATTAAAGGTTTATCTGTGGGGGGTCTTCTAGAAAGATGATACATTAGTCAGTTCCTGGATCTTGTATCTTTCTCCCTCTACGAATATCCAGCATAGAACACGTAGGATAAATGTGGAGACAGGATGAAAAATGATGAACTACTCTTCTACTCTGCTCAATCCATCATTCTAAGGTCGGCACCTTCCATCATGTGTACACCACTAAAACCTATAGTCGTTTCGGTAGTCATGTTGATTTATTCTTAAAACGAAAGTGAACCGAGATGGAGGTAATCAGACCACTATTCTGTAATGTACGGAAATAAAAATAAGTGGAAAAGTAGGGAAGAAGAAAGTCTGTGATATTCAATCATGTCTAGTCAGATTAGTTAATGCACGTGACAACTACAAAAAGTTAATTGAGACTACAATTATCTGAGTGTTTTATTTCTACCGATGCACTTTTTATAAATACAACGCTTGGCCGTTACAGACGTATTATTCTTACGCAGTCAAATAGTTTTCGACAACTATGGCTCACGTAACACCGGTGTATGCCCTGTATGTACAAATCCGTATAGTCAGTTTCAGTATGAACGTCGTTACAGCTGATGCTTATTGAGAACCATTGGAACAGGCGTACTACAAGTTGTTAATACCACGTTTGTTCTCCTATTGCAACACAGCATGGACTTCCATTCAGATGTGTTTATTTTTTCGATACCTTCAAAAGAAAGATAATGTATATGAGATTATAGTTTTCACTGTGCTGAATATGCATATGGTGGTCTCCTGAGTGTCGATCACTAAGGCATGAACTGTCTTCTCCCGCTCGAAGACTGGGATCGTGGGTTTGAATCTCACTGAGGGTATGGATATTTGCTTTTATTCTGTGTTTGTGTGTATGTGGCGGCCTTGCGACGGGCTGATCCCCTTTCGAGGAGTCATACCGACTGTATGAGATTAAGAAACTGAAGTGAAACAAGCGTTTCACAGATGCCCTACGCTCCAAGTGGGAGCAACAGATATGGCTGGCTGGCTGGATAGACAGACAGACAGACAGACAGATAGATATGTAGATGTAGCCTAGTAACCTATTTAACAGATTATACGTATATAGTGCCAACCTGGGAAGACCAGTAGTATGAAACTCAGCATATTTCTCTATTAAAATGCGTGCTTTTGTAAAACAAATACTAGTTTCCGAGGATATCAACATATATCTTAGGTACAGCTGTCTAAAATTCCAGTCGCAAAGTATTCGCCTTGCCAGAAAAGGAGCAATGGTATTAATAGACATAACAGGCATAAACACACATGGGAGGATTCTGGATTTGAGACTGTTGTAACGATGACTTTGAAGATTTCCATCTTCTGCAATATAACATTGAAGATGTAGAAGGTATGTTCCTCCGAAACATTGGTTAACATTTACCGGACCATAAGGCTGTTATATCCCAAAAGATGGAGTTCTTGACACCGGAGAAGACCAAATTTCTCTTTTCGAGATATCTTTTATCACAATGTCTTAGCATTTGTCCTCTCCTTCAAGAGCCCAGAAAAATCTTAATAAAAAACTTCTTCAGTTGCAA